TGCTAGCAACCAAAGATCTTCCCACCTGCATTTAGCTACATGCTAAATCACCCCTCTCTGAAAAATGGAATACATTTCTCCTCTCTTTAGTGACCATCAAACAGACTGAGACTCAATTCAACCAGAATGGAAAGACTGATGGAGCCCACACAAATTGGGGGATACATGCTCAATAGGATAAATGTGAGTGCCCAAATGGCTTTTCTATTTACTGTCTTACGTCTATGAATAATTGGGCATGCCTATGATTAAAATAAGATGTATTACGGAGCAAAAGAGTGAAGTACCCTTCAGTAAATAAGTTACCTCTTCTCTTGAACCTCATAAAAGAATGCTCCGAGCAGTAATTGGGACCCACAAGTATTTCACTTCTGCTACCGGCTGCTCTATCATATATTCTGATCCTTTTCTATTTCTTTACTTTAAATAAAGTTTACTCACTACTATGGAATTTGTTTGGGCTTTTATTTCATTTCTGAATAAGAGGCCAAGAACCTAGAAACTCCCAATACAAACAGCACCTCTGACTACTGGTAACATACCCAGTCTTTTTAAATGTTATTTCAAAGTAGCTTTACTTTGTATTGCAAGTTACAAGCTTAGTGGTTTTTTTTTTGTAGATTTAAATTTTTAAAAATACATTTCGAGTCTGTGTGAGTCTTTGCTATGTATGTGCTGTCTATCTATCTATCTATCTATCTATCTATCTATCTATCCAACCATCCATCATCTATCTATCTATCTATCTATCTATCTATCTATCTATCTATCTATCTATCATCTATTTATCCATCCATCTATCATCTATCTAGCCATCTATCTATCCATCCATCTATTATCTATCTATTTATCTATCTATCTATCTATATATATATCTATCATCAATCTATCCATCCATCTATCATCTATCTATCCATCCATTATCTATCTATCTATCTATCTATCTATCTATCTATTCATCCATCATCTATCTATCTATCTATTCAACCATCATCTATCTATCTATCTATTCATCTATCTATCTATCTATCTACCTATCGTGTGTGGATGTTTTGACTACATGCATGTCTGTGCACTATGTGCATGCAATGTCCTCGAGAAGCCAGAAGAGAACATCAGATCTCTGGGACTAGAGTTACAGATGGTTGTGAGCCACCATGTGAGTGCTGCAAATGGAACCTGGGTTCTCTGGTAGAGCAGTCAGTACTCCTAACTACTGAGGCATCTCTCCAGTCCCAAGTTTTAAACTTTGATTTTCACTTTTCTTATTTATTGATTAAGGTGGCAATAGAGTGTCTGAAAACTACTCGACACTCTGAAGTCCAAGGAAGAAATAAGTAACTACAGAGCGAATGATTTCTTCAAAGGGTTCACAGTCCAAAAAAAAAAAAAAAGGATTATTTGAGAGAATAACAACAAAATGGGAATGCCATGAGCAATATACTTGTGGGCAGACAAGCATCAAAATGCCAATATATGATTCATAAAAAAGAAGGGAGTTCACCTGCCATATGGTGGTATGGACTAGGGAGAGAAGCCTCCCATCAATGCCTGAGGCAGGTGGGAGAGCTGGTCCTGTGGTCATAAGAGTAGGGGTCCCAACCTCCCCCTACCCCCAGCTACAACATTTGGGAGCACATGCCCTGGACCTCACTTGGGTAATACAATAGAGCCAACCCTGTTGGAGGAGTTGTGGATGAACCAACCCCAAAGTTGTAAGCATGCATGTTCTGTCATGCAGCCATATGGGAGGGGAGAGATGGCCCCCTTACCCTCACCCCTTGCCTCCTGCAATAGAGAACTGACCCTCCTCCTTATCAGCTGCACTCTCCTTATCTCCTTCAGGAGAGTGGGCCTTGCCCCTCACCAAGGCATTGGTGGTCAGCTGGGGGTGAGGATGACCACTCCCATTGTGAGTAAGGGAGACCCTGTCCCCAATACTTATCTGATATGTGGCAGGCAGCAGAGGAGAGATGCCCTCTTCCCCACCCCCTGCCCATCAATGTCTGAGATAGGTGGAGGAGCTGACTTGGGGCCATAAAAGCAGGATGACTGTCCCTGCCCCCTCATGAACTGGAGCACTCCGGAGAGTTACCTCACCAGGGCAATACAATAGAGCTGGCCCTGATGGCTAGGTGTGGGAGAGCTGACCCCTAGGGCTGGAAAGCAGGAGAACTGGCCCCACCCCTCAGTCTTTGCAGCAAGAGGAGAATTATCTGGGGCAATGCAGGGGAGCTCACCCTGTGGTGAGAACAAGCGAGAATGGGTGGGTGGACAAACCCTGTAGCTGCTCAGGCCCAGAACCAGGGATATGACTATGGCCTGCTGGAGCATGAGAAGGAACCTGACCCACAGATCCAAAGCTGTAGGATCTCCACAACACAGGGCAACAGGATATCCAAGAAGAGTCCCAGTGGGGGCCCAGCATCAATAGTAGAATCCAGAGGTCTCAACCAGATCATTGACCCTTTGCAATGAACACTTGCAAGTAAAGATACATGGACAAAGGGATGTATAAGTCCCTGTGTGACTCATTGTGTTACACTGCAGCTTCCATGATGAGATTTTTTTTTTATTCCTCCCCTTTTCTCTTATATTTTGTTTTATTTTGGGGGGGGATGCAGGGTCAGAGGGCAGACAGAAAGGGACAGAGAAATAGAAGGGTCAAGATACATGATGTAAAAGATGCATAGAATAAATAAAAAGAAAGAAAAAAAAGACTATGGAATCCCCAACATAAAATCAAACAATCTGTTGATGATGCTGGGACGACCATGTCTTCCTATGACATTTCGGGGGTAAAGGGCAAAAATGGGCAACTCATTGAGAATTTTAAGTCTAGTTTAAGCCATAAATTTCAATAGAAGAGAAGGGTAGCATTTCATTAGGATTGTGTAAGTATTGCAGTGTAATAATTAAGAGAGGAAGAAAGACCAGCAAAGCAATGATTTTTTAATAAAAAATTCAAAGAAACAAAGGGGGGGTGTAGTTTTATGTTTTTAATCAGTAAGTATAATAGATGAAATGAACTTATATGTATAGATGTCTGTCTATATTTTACCAAGTTGTGTGTGTCTGTGTGTGTGTGTGTGTGTGTGTGTGTGGTTTTTCAAGACAGGGTTTCTCTGTGTAACAGCCCTAACTGTCCTGGAACTAGCTCTTGTAGACTAAGTTGGTCTCGGACTCACAAAGATCTGCCTGTCTCTGCCTCCTGAGTGCTAGGAGTCACTACTGCCTGATTATCTACCAAGTTTTTAAGAGAGCATATATTTAGCATACAGAAATACATATATTTGTCTAGTTTCTCCTCCTCAGTTGGATTGGAAGTTCTGGTAGTCAGGGACTTGTTTCTTATATTTCTTTTATTCCCTGGGTTTAGGATTATGGTTTTACATCACAGATTCTCCATCGATGTTTGATGATAATGAGAGGTCACACTGCAAGAAAAAATTGAGCTCTGTGAGATCAATGCATTTTATTTTTCCAGTCAGTTTAAGAAAAGGTATCCTGTTCAAAGGAATGGAGCAGAGAACACAGTGTTTTATTATCTGCAATGGAGCACAGGATAAACTGATGATAACAAGCACTCTTGCCTTGACTGAAAAATAATATCATGTCTCTCATTTACAGCAGTTTTGGGAGGGTTGTGGCCTTGATTTATGACATCATCTGGGGATACAGGAGGTGCACTAGCTATGCCGTTATCCTCAGCATAAGGATTAAATCTCTGGGTCTGTGAAATTTATGCTCTTTGGTTTGTCAGTAGACTGTTTTTTTTTTTTTGGTTGAATAATATTCCTTTGGGTATGTCTTAGTTGTAGCCATGCTATTTTGATAACTCTAAAAATAGAACTTACAAGAACTGAGATGTTTTTGCATGCTGAATTGAAATGTGCTGGTCTGCTTTATCATTTAATGTGTTTACTGAGTGCCCGTAGAGATCAAATACAGAGCTAAATACAAGGATGTGTAAATTCCTCGCCCGTCCCTCAACTAGAGAAAAAGACAGTTGAGTTGTTTCTATTTGGATGGAAGGCATGTGAGTAAGCTGTCACCTTAAGTACGTGCTAATAAAGCTGAAATGTCAAACCTTGGATGCTAATAATTCTACAGTCAGTTCTTTTGTAAGGAACCCTCTGAGCAGCTTCTTTCTACCTTAAAGTCTTGCTTCAGGGAACAGGCATGGGGCATTAAAAAGCATCTTGGCTCCAGAGTCAGGCCCCTTAGGTTCTATTTCTGGTTCTGTTACTGGATTGCCACGTGACCTTGCACAACACAGGAGCACGCACTTTCCACACAGCAAGAGGCAAGACTGACATCCAGACCTGGCACTTGAGGTTGGGTTCCAGGTGCCTTAGGGACGGACTGGACTCCTCACTGAGCTCCAGCGCATCGTTTCTACTGCCAAAGTCATTTACTTTAGTGTGAAATTAGAGCTCTGATTTTGGTTCGGCCGCAAGGACTTTGTCTCCCTCCTTACTGTGAATCCAGAAATCTAGAAATAGTTCAAAATTTAAAAGTCTTACAACTTTTCTTATTTTTTTTTTTGTTGTTTGGGGAGGAGGGAAGGCGGGAAAAGGGTAGGGGAGTAGGGGGTAAAGTGGGTGCGCTCAGGCGACACAGTAGAGAGAAGGGAGGCTTTCAAGGGCAGAGTCTAGCACCTTTAAGACTCTGGAAAGGAGGGCGCACCGCCTGGTCTACTGGGGACTACATTTCCCGGGAGCACTTGCGGCCCACAGAGGGGCGGGACCACACGCTCGAGGCTGTGGGGAAGACACAGCAATCTGATTGGAGGTCACAGCGCAGACTCGGAGCCGGGCGCGCGTCCCCGCGAGGTCCCTGCGAGGCCTGGCGTGTGTTGAGAGACGGTCCGGGTTGCGAGCGTGCGCCGTGCCGGAGGGGCGGGCCGGAGGCTCCTGTGGGGCGGGGCCGAGGGCTTCGCGTCGACACCGCCTTCCTGCCCCGCCCCTGGCCGTTCGTCCCGCCCCTCCTTCCTGGAGCCTCCGCTGAGGCTGAGGCGGCGCGGCGGCCGGGAGGGGGGCGGCTAGTGGCCGGAGCGACACGCGCCTGCCGCGACCCTATGCAGTGACTCGTGCGGCGCAGGCGCCTCCTGCCCCGCCGGCGGGGCCCGGGCTTCCCGCGGCGGGATGTTCTCCCGAAGGAGCCACGGGGATGTGAAAAAGTCCACGCAGAAGGTGCTGGACCCCAAGAAGGACGTGCTGACCCGCCTGAAGCACCTGCGGGCGCTACTGGGTGAGGCGCGGGGCGTGGGCTGTGTGACCAGGGGCACCTGCTGGAGGATCGGGTGCCACCCGTTGCTTGGGCCTGGCGGGCTCTCAGGTCCGAGTGATGCAGGGAGCCGGGGATGGTTTGCACAGGACCCCTGCTAGCCCAGATCGGGGACACTTGAGGCATTGTTCCTGAAGGCGGTAGGCTAGCCCTGGGCGCTGCGCTGTTGCCACAAGTGTAAACTTAGTCAAGATTCTCTTTTGGGCGCCTAGCCGCGGGTAACCTCGAGGCCAGGCACAGAGGTGACTATACCCTGTCTTCTCCAGGAAATAAAACCCGGCACAAGTGGAGCGGGCGAGAACACACACCTCTGCCATCTCCCTCTCTCATTTTAAAAATTTAAATTCTTGACAACTTGGATTAGACCAAGACCTCAAGCCGTCCCATCACCGACTTAGTTGGACTGCCACCAGTCTCCTTTTAAAATGTTATTATATTTGAGTGTGAGCCTTGGCTGTCCTGGAACTCACTCTGTAGACCAGTCTGGAACTCACAGAGATCCACCTGCCTCTTCTTCCTGAGTGCTAGGATTAAAGGCATGCACCGCTACTGCCCGGCCTCCTCCCTTTTAATGTAATCATTTTGGGGTGAGGAGAGCCAGGCTCATAGAGTTCTTGGTGTGAAGGGGGCTCTGCTCAGAGGAACCCAGACTTTCTTGGGTTCAGGGAGGCTGCGTCTCCCTTATAACCAGAATGACAGCCATTTCTCCCTGCCAGCCTTCTCTTTTTATGGCCTGCAGGGTGGAGGTTCTGCAGAGCCCAAGTGGGCCTGGAATTGACCTGTAAAGATGTGAATGCTCGCCCCTGTGGGTGTGATGTGTCCACAAGGTCTCCCGGTGCTGGGATGCGTCACTCGGCTAGACTATGTATTTCATTGATCTAGTTCTGTCTGTCTTAACTTTTGTTCAAAATAGAAACATCTTTGCCTGTCTATGGACAGCCTTGTCTGTATTTTGGGGCCAAGGAAAAGACATGTTTCTTCCACGTGTATTTACTGTTGAAACAATAATATTAATAGAAATTTAAGGCCGGGTGGTGGTGGTACACTCAAGAGGCAGAGGCAGGCAGGTCTCTGAGTTCGAGGCCAGCTACAAAACAAGTTCAGGACAGGTTTCAAAGCTACACCAAGAAACCCTGTCTCAAAAAACCAAAAAAAAAAAAAAAAAAAAAAAAATTAAAACCAAGTTTTAGAGTGACTGTCACTTGAGAAAATAGGGCTTAAAGAATTCATTTTGTAGGTGAGAATATTAAGCATTTTGTTAATGAGATTAAGAGATGCTGATTATTTCTGTTTAGAGTATGTAAACTATCTCTGGGTGGGAGACAGGCCAGTAAACTAGCCAACCAACACCCAACGGAAAGTAAAACTCAAAACCATGACCACCACCACCACAAAAAATATCCCTCCTCCTCAAAAGAAAGCCACTAGATTTTGCCAAATGAAGTTGCTTGTTATCTCATCTTCCTGGAGATCCCACTTCATGTGTTCGGTTTATGATGAATGTAAAACAGTTATTGTTAGGGGGATTAGTTTCTGGACTCTTGAAAGCAAAATGTGGTGTTCTTGGTAAGTTGAACTTTCTCCTTCCTGTAGTGAAATGCCCAGGCACACAAGTGCTTTGTGTTGGGTCCTTAGTATCTGATTATGCTGCAGGGGCATTTTTGATAAAGTGGATTGAACAGTACTTTAAGGCATTTGATATGTTGGAACCTTTTCTGTGCTAGAGAATTTAAGCCTTTGTTCTGACTTAGAAGCCCAAGATTAAGTTGGATACATTTTATAAAGTCAGAAACCTAGATCAGATGAGTTTCTTAGAGATAAGCAGTTCTTTTTAGGATTCTGAGAAAGTGGATACTTTTCGGGTCTGAGTGTCCCTGATTTTTCCTCTAAGGTGTGTGTCTCATTTCAGTTGCAAGTGGCAGGGATAGCCTGGGAACCAGGTCAGTGGCATCTCTTTATGATACATTTTAAATAGTGTGTGTGTGTGTGTGTGTGTGTGGTGGGCTTGTGCTAGTGAGTCCAGTAACCTTGGAGGCCAATAGAGGGATCGCCTGGAGTGATTGCGAATCGCCCCGAGATGCATACTGGGAACTAAACTCTGTACAAGAACAGCAGGTGCTCTTAGCCTCTGTCTGCAGCCTGAATCATCTTTATATGTGAAAAAATAACAGCTGTATTATCACTCAAAGATAAAAATCTGTGTTTAAAATATTGTTTGTAACATAGAGTTCTTCTTTGATATTACATCAGGAATACTTTTGTTGCTGATGACGGCCGAATTTCCTTCATGTATTAGTGATCTTTAACTATAGGGGCTCTATTTACAAAAAAAATAAAATAAAATTTGAGGAATTCTAGCCATAATATTTAGTGTAAACTTTTCTTTACAGCTGTGATTAGAAGACTTTAAAGGAAACTAGTGCATTAAAGTGCTGGTTCCACAGCATCAAATATCTTATTTAGTTATTACCTTTAGAAAAGACAGTGTTCTTGAGGAATTAAGTCAGTATGAAGGCAACTGAAGGGAATGGGTTTAATTAGTATTGCATATTACATATGCACTTATAACCTTGCTTTTCATGTCTGTGTCTTCAAGTGAAATAGGACTGGCATTTTTTTTTTTTTTTATGTAAGGATGATGCTACTGACCTGGGTTTGCAGCCTGTCCCTGCCACTTGTAGCTGCACAGCATGGACTAGTACTTAGCCTGCCCTTGAACCTCAGCTTTGTTACTCTGTTAAATGGGTATGATAGGGTGTGAGTGCATAGGGTGTGAGTACATATGTAATGGCTTCGGCTTGGGGTACTTACCAGATTCTTCTTCGTTACTTTCCTCCTTCCATTAATAGGACACATATTTTAAGAGGTTTTTTATCCACCCTTCGTTTTTAATTAGATAATGGTAATGGCCTTACTCTCTTGTCATAAAAAGTAGTCAGTTTGCTGAGTCCTGACAATGTGTTTTAAATCAGCCCTTGTAGGACTCTGTTTTAATGGTTTTCATGTATCATTGGGATGAACGAGGAGCTGACTTCAGTTCTTCTTATGCTGCTTAAATTATCTTTAGGAGAGAAACTGAGTAAGCCAAACAAATCACCCCCTCCTCATCAACCCTGTGTATTACTGTATTGCTCCAGCAAACAAGTAATCCCAGACTTTGGGAGGTTAAGGCAGGAGCATCATTGTTAATTTGAGATTAGTTTGGGTTACATAGAAAGTTCTCTGTCAGTCAGGTCCACATAGTAAGATCCTGTTTCAAAAAAAAAAATGTAAGGCATATATATAATTTAAAATTTTCTTGTAACAGCATTTATGATACAGAAGGATATGAAATTAATTTTAATGTATTATATTTAACCTAATGTATCAGCAGGTAATAGTAAAGATTAACAAAGAGTTTTACAGTACTATGTGAATTAGTTAATTAATTCTATGTGAATTATATGAAATTCAGTATGTATTATACGGTCAGAACACTTGACTTGTCCTTACTAGCCACATTTTCACATGTACAGTAGCAAGATATGGCTAGTCGCTACAGGTTGGAGAGAGTAGGATTTGACTTTGGGAAAGCAGTGTGGTAGGGCCGGGCAGTTCCAGCCTTGGTAGTAGAAATCCATGTGGCAATGGTACAGGCAGGTGACTCTTGTTGCATCCCCTGGGAGTGGGGAGTTGGAACATTGGGCACTCAGGACCCTTATGTAGAGCCCAGTGGAGATCAGGTTAGAGTCAAATACCCTAAGAAACAGGCTTACGCAGACTTGGTGGCCCAGATCGGAGAGGGTTTGGTTTGTTGAGTTGGAGTTAACACTTGTCCTTCCTTAAGGTGGGAGCTTCTGTGGAGACTTTTTAGAAGGCCAGTAGGTAAGACTTGAGAACTGTCCATCTACCAAAGACACCAGAAGAGTGTATCAGGAGGGGAGAGATTGGAGGCAGGGGTTTCCAGAAAGGGCTGTGGCAAGGGGAACAGGCAGATGATGGATTGTTGGAAGAGGAAGGCCAGGATGACAGGACAGAGCAGCAAGAGCTTCAGGTGCAGTGCGGGCTGCTTAAGGAGTGACTAATAGGAAATAATTTGGGATAGGAGGCTGTGGCACTCAGGTCAAATCAGAACTAGCACTTGGACCTCAGAGTTGCCCCAGAGGAAAGTTTCTTACAAATGTTCTCTACATTGACAGAGCAAAGTATAGCGTTATATTTCTTACTGCTTTAAATAGGGGCAGATTCACTTGCAATTTTAGATGTTGCCATTTACTGTTTTATTGTGTGTGTTTATGTGTTACATGTGTGTAGCATATGCATACTTTTGTGTCTGTGCATGCATGTGGAGATCAGAAGAGGACATCAGGTGTCCTGCTCTGTCCCACTTATTTCCCCACTGAGTTTAAGATAGGGTCTCAGTGAGCCCAGAGCTAGTCTGGTGGCCAGAAAGCCCCAGAAGCCCCAGGGAGCCTGTCTCTAAATCTCCACAGCCACCAGCATAGTTTGCAGGTGTGTGTGCAACCGTGGGTGCTGGGGATTTGAACTGGAGTCCTGCATATTAGACTATGCATTAAGTGCTCTTGCCCACCAAGCCATCTCCCCGACTCCCTACATATCTTTAGTTACTAGTATTCTTCATGTTTTGTCCCTCTCGGTTTTAGTTCCAAACATTTGTGAGCACAGTAGCCTAGGCTGGACTCAAACTCTCCATCTTCCTTTCTTCCCCTGCTGAGTTCTGAGATTACAGGTGTGTATGCCACCATGCTCAGCGCTCCTCCCCTCTGCCACCTCCTTTCCTCCTCCCCTTATTGTCCTTTACTTCTCTGATAGCAGGAATGCCTCTCAAACCATCTGGTGTTTTGCTCTTAGAACAGAGTTCCCCTTTTCACTTTAGTCTGACCAGCAACACACCCATTTTTATAGTTTGATAATTGAATCATGGGAGTATTCTGGATAGAGCTGGGGGGAGGGGTCGTAGCTAA